GAACCCGGCCCCGGCCAAACTGCAACAAAAAAATAGCCGGGTGTTCTGGTGGGTGCCTGTAGTCCCCGCTAGTTGGGAGTCTGAGGCAAGAGAATCAGTTAAGCCCGAGAGCTAGAGGTTGCTGTGAGCTGTGATGCCATGGCACTCTACCAAGGGCGACAGAGAGACTCTGTCTCTTAAAAAAAAAAAAAAGTTTCTTTAAGATATATAAAGTAGAAGAAATACATTTAAAATACATGATCATATTATAATCAGCTAAGATAAAAAGTATAAATATCAAGTTTCTTTTTAGAAAGAAGCCGGGTGAAGTCATTATGATTTCTTACAATAAAAAAAAAAAAATGTTTTCTTTGTATAGAGAACTTCTAGAAGTTCTCATTAAAATAATACATAAAAGATTCAAGTGTGACTCTTGGTTATAATGTGCCCATTAGGAGACTAAAAGTTTTCCCAGAATCAAACACTTCCTTCTACTTTTAGGGCCCTGTATATTGGTAATAAGTATATGTAAATTATAGCAGAAGGATTTTTCAAATCATTTTGATCTAAAGACCTTAAATAGGCAGAATGCTACTATTTGGAGAATGTTGCTATTTTCTTTTCCTTTGAGCTTTTGAGTTAAAAAGTTGTATTGGTGCCATGAAGCTTCTAATCTTTGAAATGGTGAGAAACTGGGATTTCATCATCTCATACTAAATATACCATATACAAAATGCAATATTGTTAGTATTTAGGTTCTTGCCATAATTCAATTAAGATTAAGATTAACTTTTAACTTTACAAATGCTTTGTCATCTTCATTCAGGAATGTATAACTGAGAGAAGTAACCATTCTGTTTTTGAGACCTTTGGTTCTAGTAATGTTTTCAGTGGACAACCTCTGAAGTCTGTAATCTAATATAGATAAACTTTTAGAAACTCCTATCAAGTTTTTTTCTTGCTTTTTTTTTGAGACAGAGTTTCACTATGTTGCCCTTGGTAGAGTGCCATGGTGTCACAGCTCACAGCAACCTCCAACTCTTGGGCTTAAGCGATTCTCTTACTTTAGCCTCCTAAGTAATTGGGACTACAGGCACCTGCCACAATGCCTGGCTATTTTTTGTTGCATTTGTCATTGTTGTTTAGCTGGCCTGGGCCGGGTTTGAACCCTCCAGCCTCAGTGTATGTGGCCAGCACCGTAACCACTGTACTACAGGTGCCGAGCCTTTGCTTTCTTTTAATTTTTAAGTTGTTTTTGTAGATGCGTCTTTTAATTTAAAAAAATTTTTACTTGTGATAAAATACACATAACCTAAAATTTCCCATTTAACCATTTTAAAGCAGATGGTTCAGTAGTAGAATATTCATAATGTTGAACATCTGATCTCCAGAAACTTTCTGTCATGTGGAATTGAAATTCCACCCCTTAGACAGTAACTCCCCGACTCTCTCCCCTGCCGCTAGCAGCCATCGTTCTGCTTTCAGTCTGATGGAACCTGACTACTCTGAGCACTTAAATAAGTAGAATTATACGTTTTTTGGAGGTGAAGGAAGAGGGAGAACAAAGTGAAATGATACTATATTTTTGTCATTTTGCGGGTAGCCTACTTCATTGAGCATAACAGATTTATCCATGTTGTAGCATGTGTCAGAATTTCTCTCCTTTCTAAAGCTGAATGGTATACCATTGCATGTATATACCACATTTTATATATCCAGTCATCTATTGATAAACACTTGGATTGCTTCTTTTATTTGGCTATTGTGAATAATGCAGCTGTGAACTCGAGTGAGGTACCTCTTTGAGATTCCGCTTCCTTTCTTTTGGTTACGTACTCAGCGGTGAAATTGCTGGATCATGTGGTCCTACTAGCTTTTTTAGAGCAATGTAGTAGTACCTGCTTATAGAAAATTAGGCAAATACAGAGATAGATGAACAAGAAATTTTTTTTTTTTGCTTGAAGAATATTTCTTATTTTTATGTACATAGATGTCAACAGTATACATTTAGCCCAATTTAGAGGCAAGTTCTTTAGCTTTTGCCTTTTCTAGCTTGGCATTGTGAGCCACAGACTTCGGGCCCAGGACGTTGCCTCCCCAGTGACGACGGATCTCGTCATATCTGTCATGGTCTTGATGGCTTCCACCAGCTTAGCCCAGCTCGTTTGTCCTCCGAGTTAACCTGCATGAAGGCCACAGTGGTGCAGGTCTTCCTGTGGACGAGACCCCAGCCTGGCCTTCCCATTGATAATGCAGTAAGGGACAACCAGCTCCGTGGGATCCACATCGTGTGCGATCACAACCAGCTGAGCCTTCTTGTTCTCCACCAACGTGGTGACAGTGTTAACCCTGCTCTAAGGACAGGTGGTCTCTGAGTGGGGACATCCCCTTTGCCCAGAGCTTTCTTCTCAGCCCTGGCCAACAGTCGCTGCTGCTTCTCTTGCTTTGTCTCTGGTTTGTACTTGTCAGCTGAGTAGCTGTTTGACAGTCCAAGGCCTGAGTGAACTGGTTAATGGTGGGAGGCACTTTTAGCCGCTCATAGAGGATGACTCTTTGCCACTGCAGCTGGATGTAGCGAGGCCATTTGACAAAGTGGGTGAGGTCCCTCTTGGGCTGGATGTCCTGTCCAGTGCTCCAATGCTGAAGTTTTTCTGCCTTTTCTCAAACAGAGGGTTCACCACCTTTTTGGCCACCTGCTTCTTCACCATGGCAGGGGTCGGGGCCACTTTCTTCCCCTTTGCCTTCTTTCCTTTCGTCTGGGCCATCTTGAGCTGCTGGTGCAGAGAGGCAAATAAGAAATTTAAAGGTCATCCATTAATCTGCCCTCCAGAAAGAACACTTATCAGTATTTTGATATCTGCACTATTTTGTGAATTTTTTCTAAAATAATTGGAGCTAAATCCTATGAAAAAGTATTCTATACACTTCATTTTACTTATTTACTATAATGTAAGCATTTCTTCTTAATTGTTTAAAAAATCACTTTGTAAATATCTTAATGGCTGCATAATCTATCAGATGGATGTGTTCTTAATTTATTATTTTCCTGTTGGATATTTGTTTCTAGTATTTACACTGTTATAAAATTATACTCTTCAAACATGCTTGTATATAGATCTTTATTTCTGTTTTTAATTATCATCTTAAAATAGACCAGATAACAAATTTCTAAGTTACAGGTAATTTAAGGCTTACTTTTAGAAAAGTTGTAGCCAGTTACATTTGTCAGAATGAAACATTATTAACTTTAAAAATCTTTGCTAATTTGTAAGAGAATAGTCTTATGTTTATACTTACACCTTTCTTTTTTTGTTTTTGTTTTTTTTTTCTTTTTTGAGATAGAGATTCACTATGTTGCCCTTGGTAGTGTGCTGTGGCGTCATAGCTCACAGCAACCTCAAACTTTTAGGGTTAAGTGATTCTCTTGCCTCAGCCTTCAAAGTAGCTGGGACTACAAGCACCCACCACAATGCCCAGCTATTTTTATTTATTTTATTTATTTATTTTTTTGAGACAGAGCCCTAAGCTATCACCCTGGGTAGAGTGCCGCATCACAGCTCATAGCAACCTCTAACTCCTGGGCTTAAGTGATTCTCTTGCCTCAGCCTCCCAAGTAGCTGGGACTATAGGTGCCCGCCACAACACCCGGCTATTTTTTGATTGTAGTTGTCATTGTTTGGCAGGCCCAGGCTGGATTCGAACCCATCAGCTCAGGTGCATGTGGCTGGTGCCTTAGCTGCTTGAGCCACAGGCGCCAAGCCTATTTTTTTTTTTTTGGTTGTAGTTGTCGTTTGGCAGACCTGGGCTGGGTTTGAACCTGCCAGCTTTAGTGTATGTGGCTGGCGCCCTAGCTGCTGAGTTATAGGTGCCGAGCCTATACTTACACATTTCTATGCTTCTTACCAATAATTTTTATATTTATTTATTTATTTTTGAGACAGAGTCTCACTGTGTCACCCTAGGTAAAGTGCTATGGCATCACAGCTCACAGCCACCTAAAACTCTTGGGGTTAAGCAATTCTCTTACCTCAGCCTCCCAAGTATCTGGGACTACAGCTGCCTGCCACAATGCCCACCTATTTTTTGGTTGCAGTTGTCATTATTGTTTAGAAGGCCGGCATCGAACCCGCCAGTTTTAGTGTATGTGGCTAGCACCCTACTCACTGAGCTATAGGTGCCAAGTCATTACTGATAATTTTTAAAATATCAGCTATTTGTAAAAAGCATGTGTGACTTTAAAAGCTTTTGCCATTAATCTGAGATGGATAAAACATGAAAGACAAGGATTTTAAAAAAAAAAGTTTGGAAATGTATGTTCTTGTGATTTTTTTAGCTTATCTGAACTCACTTCCAGCTTTCATTCATCTTATTGTGTCACCGTTGTGTTTCTCATCCGTATTTATGTATAAGATTCTTGTTTAAGTTAGATTTTTTCTTTACCTCCTCCCTTTTAATTTTAGATTGAAACCATGGCATGTGTGATGAGGTCATATGGTGGCTTCTATAAGGTTCAAGTCCAAGTTATACTTGTGTCCCGCACGCAGGAAGTGTGCCACCTGTGCAGTGTTCACAGTGGGTGGGGTTAGATATTTTATGGTACTGCAAAGATTAACCTGATATTTTTCATTTTGCTGCAGGTACAAACCCGTAGTGCTGATGAACCAATGACAACATTTGTTGTCTGTAATGAATGTGGAAATCGATGGAAGGTGTGATACTCTCTCCTATTCATGTTACACTTATTTATAGTAGAATGATTTTTTCTTGTGTTTTTATAAGTCTACCTAGACATCTAAATACAGTGTGTCCCCAAAGTTTCTATGCATAGGGAAAATGGGAAATATTCACTAAATGTACCTTTGCTTATAAAATACTCATTGCAAAATTTTACAAAGAGGTAGTCAACACAGAGAGACTATTTTGTAAATGCATATTAGGTACAAATATAAGTGCTCATGCTAGCTGGTACTCTGACAGTCCCTGACTACTTGCAATGGAATGTACTGTTTCATACTCTATAGAAAATAACGAGTGTTAACTCGATATGACCACTGTCATGCTGTCCTGGTGCAGCAGTAGGGAGAGTGAATCTTAAATGTTCAGTTACTGCATCATAATACACGGTTATTACAGCACATTAAACTGTTTTGACTCTTGTGCTTCCAGAAAATCTGTGTATGTTTATTACTTGTCTTCAAAGATTTTGATTTTGGAAATATTTCCTTATCAGTTGAAATCAAATGCAGTGATTTTAGTGTTTATTTTAGGAATTATAAATGAGCATTGTCATGGATTGGTAGGCTTTTTGCTAAGCCTTTCTATTGCCTGTGTACTCATGAATTAGCCCCACATGGGCAAGTTTGTTTTATTTAAATGATTCTTTCTTGAGTGATTTTGTGAATCACAAAAACAAAATTTTAAGTTGGAAGAAGAATTACATTTCAGCACTAAGAATACTTTGATTATCACTGTGGACGTGTGTGCTCAGTGTCCAGGGTTGGAAGGCTCATTTCGTTTAGCCTCCAGAGTCCTGCAGACTGATTTTGAACTCCCTTGCTGCTTCCCGTTACTGAACTGTATTTTCCTCATATATTCACTGTAAATAATACCTATGCTGCAGGTGGCAATGAGGAGTAGAGATAATACCTGGTGTTCCAAAAGTTGCCAAGGAAGTGACCACCTCTTTGTAAAATTTTGTAGTGAATACAAAGGTCTGACAGTTAAGTTGGAGAACGCATCCTAGAAACCGTGCTGCGTTACTCACTGCGTGTCGCTGCAGTCACCTTCAGAGCACTCCCCTCAGGAAGCTGTGTGTTGACACTAGCACCTCATTCACCCTTCCACGCAATTTTGGGTCTTCTTTTCTGGAATGGCCGTCAGAGCTGTTGTAGCAGGAGGTCTGACAAGTCCATGAACTTGCCTCTATGTGCTTACATTGGCCACACTATACAAACAACTCTGTAAAGTTTTATAACTTCGGTGTATCAGTATCTCACAGCTGCATTCCTGTCGGCAGGCGTGGTGACTTGCTGCCTGCTGTTCATTGTTGTTGCATATTTTTGTGTGCTGTATAACAACAGCTTTGATGGCTGTTCCAGAAAAAGAGCTCCAGAATTGCTTAGAGGAGTGGACGAGGTGCTGCTGTCAGTGCACAGCTCCCCACGGGCAGCACTTCAGAGGCAACTGTAGTGGTGTTCAGCAGGGAGGTACGGAGCACTTTCCAGGATGAGTTAGTGAGCTCAATTGTCACAACGTCGTATTTTGTAAACAAAGGTACATTTAGCTATTTCTCCTTTTGCCTATGTATGGTGAGTTTATGAGCAATTTTTGGGACACCCATATGTTTAATATGCCTGGTAATTTTTGTTATTCTAGAATGGTAACTATTTGTATTAGTTTTGTGAAGTTTGTATAATACAAAGTTTGTATAATAGGATTCTTTTCCCCTTGCAGTTATACTGAAACTTTAAAGTTTAATGCTTGCTTTGAGCTGTTCTCATAGCTTAAAGCATTTTCTGAAAATCAAAAGTGAGTTGGAAGCCAGATGGACCTCCTCCACAAACATTGGGGACTTTGGTCCTAAACACTCTTTTAAAAGGTTGGGGCCAGGATCCATTCTATTACATACTTAAGATTCAGTTCTGGTTTAGAGAGGTCACTGGCGTTGAGAGTATGTTCATGATTTGAAACAGTATCTCATCCCACTCTGAGGTGCAGAAGTTATTTACATTGTAGGGGGATTTCACATTTTTGTTGATCCTGTTGAGCAGATTTGGCTTTGCTGTCTTAGATTTGTTTTGCATGATAGATTACATTATTGTTAAGAAGGATATAGTACAGTTTGTTTTGAATACATGCAGTTTGCAGTACAAGTTTTGACATTGTAATTTCTGGATTTAACAAAGTTCAATGCAGGGTAGACAGCTGAGGTCTCAGGTGGCATATTCTAGAAAATCTAGAAGTTCACATTTAGAATTATTTATTTTCTTACCTTTAAAACATTAAGAAGGAGGTGCTTAAAACATGATCAAAATGTTCTATATTAGATCTTTAGTTACATGTTCCTATAAATTCTTATTTGAGAAAGTCAGACAGTTAAGGTAGGTGACTATTATGTGTGAAAAATATAGTCTTTTCCAAAAATGCCTTTTAAAAAAAGTAATAAAAGTTATGTGTTGTATGCTGTATGAAATGATGGCTATACCCCATCATTTGGACTTAAAGGTCTCACACTATTTTTTCTTTTTTGACAGTTCTGTTGAGTTGGAAGAATTGGCAAAATGTCTGGACCATTAAGAAAATGGATTTTGTAATTAGCTTTAAAACTAGGCCAAGCAACTAGTATTCCTGCATATCAGATTTTTAAAACAACATATATTCCTTGGATTAGTCTTTGTTTTTGACCTAACACCACTTCTATAAATGCCTTCTATAGTTTCAGATCAGTAGGGACACCAGTAATAATTGTGTATTTCAAAACGTTTCTTTTTGTTTCTGTAAGTTGGTATTAAACTTTGATCAGTTAAACTTTACAATATATTTTATTTTTTTCTTCTTAAAGGAAAATGTACCTTAACTGTTTTTATAGCGTGAAACATACACAGTAGAAATCCTCTGTTATTAATGCATAAATGGAAGTTACATTTTTTCCCACATTGGCATGTATCTACAAATATAAAAGGAGGAGAAAGGTGATGTCATTTTAGGTTTACAAACATGGTGTGTATTCAAATAGTACTTGACCAGCCTATCTAAATTGTACATAATATTTGATCTAGTATATGAATTTGATTTTAATTATTATGTTCACCAACCTGGGATATTAGGTATTATTTTGTTTCTGTAACTAACCATGATCATCATTTCTTGTAATGTCTTGTACGTGCATATTACTTGTTCTAAATAGATTTTACTTTCGGAAACATGACTGTTGAAATCAGTTTGGTTTTGTTGTTTATTTACCTATCTGACTTTGTATTTTAGTTTTACAGAAGAACATTATTGTAATTTTCGTAAGCTTTTCATGAATCCTCTCACAGGCAAGAAATGAAAGCTTCTGACTGTTTTGTTCCCACATAAGAAGACATACTGAGAAGATCTTAGCCTCTTAGTTAGGAGAGGTAGTTAATGGGAAACAGTTCAAGAATTGATTTTCATTTGGAAATCTGTACTGGCCAAGGATTAAGCTTAAGGGTTGTATAAGTCACTAAAGCTGTGGTCTTTCCATGTGGAGGCTGATAGAAAACATTTTTGTCTTGAGTTTTATTTGCTGGCTTTTTCTGTTGCACGATAAATGATGTTATTGGAGAAACTGAACATATGGACTATAGCAAAAATTAATAGTTTTATAGTACAGATCTTAGAATTAAGTTTTACCTATTGCTTAAGTGTGTACCACTTTTTTCTGTTTGGAATTTTTAAAAAATGATTTTCTTATAGGTTCCTTAGAGTACTTTGCTCTAGCCTATCTTAAGGCTTCTGTTGTAAAGTTGACATTTTATCATGCTGCATCTGCATTCTGTCAAGCACCTGTAGAAAGACCTCAGTACATGCTTTGTACTGACCTTTGCTTCCTTCTTTCAGTTTCGTTTGGGGGGGGGCAGTCTCACCTTGTTGTCTCTGGTAGAGTGCTGTGGCATCACAGCTCACAGCATCGCCAAACTCTTGGGCTCAAGCGATTCTCTCGCCTCAGCCTCACAGTAGCTGGGACTACAGGTACCTGACACAGTAACTGCCTGTTTTTAGAGATGGGGGTCTTTCTCTGGCTCATGCTGGTCTTAACCTGTGAGCTTCGGCAGTCAACCTGCCTTGGCACAGGCATGAGCCATTGCACCTGGCCACCTCTTTCAATTTCGTATTGCAAACCATTTTGATGTAGTACTACAGAAAACAGCATTTAAATGGCCATATTAATAATTAGCCCACTGGCACTAGCCCATCTCTATTAGATCAATTCATGGTTTTGTTTTATTTTTTCAAAAATAAAGTGCATTTTTGAAAGAATGAGTTGAAGAATAATAAGATTAAAATAGTCCCACTTTTAACTTAAGTGATCCATTTTTAAATTTGTAATTCAATAAAGTTTTTTGTTGTTAAACATGTATCACATTTTGTCATTTCTTTAGACATTTAAGCTTGTACTTTTTATTTAAAAAGTCTTCTCTTTATTCCTCAATTACTAAGGTATTTTTAAAGTGCAGTTTTAATTAGCAAAGCCTGGTCTTAAAACTAGTATTGAGAAGTAGTACAGATTATACTGTCCTTTTTTTTGAACCTCTGTTGATGGATGGATGGTTCTGATTAGATACATGAGTGTATCTCTATGTGCATTTGATGTAACAGGAGAGACTAAATCAGGAGTCTTGCTATTTAAAAATACTGGACATTTATAAAGTAACAAAGTGTATGTTTTTAGGAGTATGTATGTATGTATTTATTAGGGCAGAGTCTCACTCTGTTGTCCAGGCTAGAGTGCTGTGGCATCAGCCTAGCTTGCAGCAACCTCAAACTCCTGGTCTTAAACAATCCTCCTCCCTCAGCCTCCTGTATAACTGGCTAATTTTTCTATTTTTAGTAGAAATGGGTCTCACTCTTGCTCAGGCTGGTCTCCAACTTTTGACATCAAGTGATCCTTTCACCTTGGCCTCCCAGAGTGCAAGGATTAGCAGCATGAGCCCCTGTACCTGGCCAAGGGTGACATTTTATAATACGTACTTCCCAGGCAAAGTAACTCTATTAAATGAACATGCTGAGGGATTAAGTTAGACATAGTGGCAGATAATGAGGAACCACCCTTAAAAAACAAAAAATAACAACTTTAGTTTTTTTTCTTTTTTTTCTTTTCTTTTTTTTTCTTTCTTTTTTTTTTTTTT